TGCCATGTCTTCCAGAAGAGCTCTGTGGAGCTTGCAGTCAAGGTCGGGTCTTTCATGAGAAACCAATAGAATGGTACCCTCTGTTTATTGAGACGCACTCCACCTGTTTTCTAAAAATCAAATCCATGTGTTCCCTGATGTTCTGCAACTTTTAGACATGATTCTGTCTCCACACTCCTGACTTCAATATGAGCTCATTGCCAGACTTTGACTACCGCTGGTGAGCTAATTTAGCCATTTGATTTAGCTGTAGAGCAGAGATACATCGAAAATGTGTAGGATAGGGGCCTGTAGGATTTGAGTTTGAGCACCATTGCCCTTAGACCAGCCCCATCTTAGCTGTACCATCGGTGAACTGGAGGATGGAGCTACTGTGATGGAGAGGGGTGCATTCATACTGTATGTCTATAAGGTGTAGAGAGCCAGTGTTGGTCTTTAATGCTAAGGATAGATGGGCTCCTAATCTCACCCTCTGTGAGCAGTCAATCAAAAAACATCAGAAAATTAGAAAAGTAAGACAGTTTAAAAATGAATAACATAGCTTCACCCTATCCACTGCAACCTTCTTGCTTTTAACACAACTTTAATTTTACAGACAGACATACCTCCTACCTCCATTTCTTGACAATATAATGTTCAGGTTGTATGTGGATTTGTGATGCGAATAGTTCTTACACAATATGGCTGAGAAAATAATTGGTCCTAGTCCTTTCCAGACTCGCTGTTAGCTTTAGCCATTGGGATGAACTTATCAGGATTTCTGTTATGCCAAGAAGGTCTTACTGCAGCAAGAGCCTCACTTAATTTGTCCCAAACTATCCCTTTAAGCGATGATGATTACATTTAGTCATCTAGTGTATCTACTTTAGCATGAAACAAATTTTCCTGTGCGGTTTATAATCAGCTCTTATTCTACAATTGTTTAAACCTTGCCTCTTACAAACAGATTTTTTTCTTCTAAGGGGAAATTATTCTGGACTCAGGTGGAAGATGAGTTAATTTGCCAGAGTCAATCCATGGTCTGGGGACATTGCTTCATGCCATTTGGCCTGTAGATAATTTCGGCTCTGGGCATTCATTCAGCACATCAGCCCAAATGATACCATTGGGCTTGTGGCCTTGAGTGAGAACTGGATCCAATAACTCTTTAACTGGTTTTGACATTTATTTTGAGGATTGTACCAAATACTAGCAATCATCTGTAGTCAAACCACTTGACCCTTTCTGCAGCACTCATGCTCCATTTAAAATTAATTGTTGCCATTTTCTAAATACATTTAGTGACAGAGAGTAAGTGCCTCTTGGTAAATAATGCTCTTACTATTTCCAAGTAGTAGAAGATAATAGGATTCATTAAGTATTTATATATAGTCAACACAATTTATTTGGTTTAGTTTCATAGCCATATCCAGAAGTGATTACTAGCAGAACTATGAAAATTAGATGTTCATAAAATCAAATTCATGAGATAAAGTAGACTAAAGTATCTAAAAAGGTATAAAGGAGTATTACTATTCCAAACTCTAAAGAAATTAAAGAAAATAAAAAAAAACAATCTAGTTGGCATCCGTTAGTCTAGAAAGGGTTAAAAAAAAAGCTATTTCTAAGGCTTTTGAATCATAGCTAAACAAAGAAGACTGTATAATGTCAGCTACTTACAACATCCAGTTGTCCTGGACAAGCATGTAGCAACAGATGAGTTGCTTGCATAGAGTTATTGCCTTTGCACAATCTCTCAAACTGGGGTTCCATATCATGCAAGTCAGAAAGACAGAAAAACTCCCCTTTAAAAGGAAGAAACATTTCAGGTTCATTGTTAATGTCCAATTGCTATGACTGATGGTGTTTCACTATGAACGGTATATATACAGTAGAGGCCATTGTTATTCCACAAAAAAAAGAAAGGTTGGACTCCAATGAGAGAGTACCAACACCCAAACTGGATTAAAGGAGAGCAAAGGCCCACGTCCCATGACATGTCTTGATGAGCAGCAGGATTTATAAAAAATGCTTTATGAATCTGAGGAAAAAAATGAATAGTGTTACCTCTCTGAAAACCCTGAGGGAGAATCTGTGACTAGTTTTTTACCTTAAGCAAGATTAAGTTTGGGGTTTATCAGATTAAGATTTGTGTGATGATCAAAAAGTCTTTCTAATGTTACAAACACTTGAAAGTTATAAAGGGGTTGGATACTTTTTTTCTAAAACATCATACTGTACATCCCTTTCTGTTAACATGTTTGTTTTTTCAGATTTTCTCATGATTTTCTTTAAATGTTTTCCATCACGATGTGCATTCAATTTCTTTTTATATCTCTGTTTTTCTTCAGGTAATCCAGAGCCAAACAACCAATCCTTGAGATGTCGAAGAGAAGAGATATTCTTGCCATCGTGTTGATCGTGTTACCCTGGACTCTACTCATCACTGTTTGGCACCAAAGTGCTATAGCTCCACTCCTCGCTATCCGAAAGGGTACGCCAAACACTGCACTTCACAGGCAATATCACAATTGAAGTGGGTCCTTGAACCTAACACTGTACTTCAGTTTTTTAGACAAAGGGGCTGTCTTTGTAGAGGCACTTAGAAGCTATGACCACAAGCTTCAGTAAAACTAAATACCACTTTCATAGTGACTCTAAGTTGCATTAATGTGGATTTTTTTATGTGTGCAATAAAGGCTTAAAAGTTAGCTGTGTAAATCTAAACCATATTGTCCAGTCTGCTGAATGGAGCTGACTTAGACAACTTTTATTGTCATTTTTATATACACAAAGTGTATACAAAACGAAATTTCATTTACTACAGCTTTCCAGACAGTAAATGAAGATTCCCATTCCATAAATTGCAGCAGTGATTAAATGTAAACAGTGTGGGAGAAAAAAAAACATGGTGCAAAAAATGCATTGATATGAAAGTTGATGGTGTTGCTGCAATTCATGTGCTTTATTTTTCTATTAATAAAAAAGCTGCCCACTGCAGGAGCTTATAAAACAATGTCCTCCTACAATCCGATCACCCATATGAGTCTTCTCGTTCTGCCTCACAAAACAGCCTGCGTCTACGTCTGGTTTCATGTTAGCACTCCCGCCTGAGTCATTAACACCTACTGAGTCTCCTGATCATCTTCAGAGATCACAAACGGACTCTGTGAAATGTCAACTGCGCTGCAGAGTAAACATCCAAATTAGATCAACCTGAATCAATGAAGCTGTTTGCTTTCCACTCGTGGTGTCGACGAGGGATTAACAAACAAGCCACATTCACTCAAATGATCCAAAATGCAGCTTGTTCAGAAGACAAAGCACATATTATCTGAAGTCCTTTGTTTTTGCAGGTTATCTAAGCATATTTTTCTGCAACAGCTTAACTTTATATCCGATTACAATAATTCAAGCATTAAAATATTTTTTTTACCTGGAAAAACTATCTTAGTGTTCTTCGAAAACTAGGAAAAGTTGGGTTTATTAACCACCAAAATATTACAATGGCTACACAAACAACAGGAAAATTAATAAAAAAGATTGCTTTGTGTCAATACCATCTGATGAAGCTCTTCCTGCAGGGTTTATATCTTGTACTCCTGAAAAGAAAAGCTGCTGATTTTTTTTTTCCTTTTTTTGGCAGAGTGCTCCTTGGCAGCCTCTGTTGAACATCTGGCTATCAGCAGTTTGTGTTAATCTCTGTGCTGCAGAAAAATTCTGATTCTTGAGCAGTGACAGTAACGTCCTTTGATCATGGCACAAAGTGGAAAACAATGTTGATAATTTTATAATGATACCCTGTACTTCACTATCTTCCACAGAAGTAAACCCAAATTGATATATTTTCCTCTCAAGATGAGCTTCACCCTCTTTATCAGAGAAGTAATAAAATAATATGTAAAATTAGGTGAAAAAAAAAACAGCTGTCATATGTGGACGCACTGTATAGACTGTATATATCGAGGTGTCTTTTTTCTTCCTACATTCTTGTCCTTTGACTATTTGAGCTGATGAAACAATTAAATTTCTCCACTGTGAGATCAATAAGGACAGTCAATCGATTAATCAATCAATCAATTAATACTTACAGCATTAGTAAAAAAAAACATGTAGGGTAAAGAATTTTATATCTTCCACTTTACATCAACGTTTTTACTCTCTGGTAAATTTCTGTATTCCTCTAACAAGTTGCAAGAAATGCAAAACCAGAGCTGGAAGAATGAATAGATTAGAATGGAGTAATCCNGTTGATGAAGATGTAGCATTCTAGCCTCGTGAGACCATCCTGATCTCGCAAGCTTTCAAGGTTTCACTCGCAGATCAGTCTGGCTACTTTCCGTTAAAGAAAATTTGGAGCAATTCACCAAAAGAACGTCCAATCAGCGTTGGCTTTAAGGCGGGTTGAGGTGTGACGCAACGAGAAGCGCGAATTAAAGCAAAAAAAGAAAAACCTTTTTCGCCAATGGATTTCAAAGTTTACAAGAATAGCGAAGCAGAACTCCAAAGAAGTCTTCACAACTCTGCAATTGCAGGACATCATTTTATATTTTTCTGACACAACAAAGAGACACAGTTTCATCCCATCAGAATGTATTCCTCTAACAAGTTGCAAGAAATGCAAAACCAGAGCTGGAAGAATGAATAGATTAGAATGGAGTAATCCTACAAGTTCCCTAACAGAGGGTCCTGCCCCTTATAGAAACGATAACACATTTGTTGCTGAAGTCTGAGACCGAAACAAAACAACAGAAATGCAAATCTTAATATGAGGGCATCTAAAAAATGTATCTTCATCTACAAAATAATCTTCTTCATCCTTATATCGACTGATCACAACTCAAACACCACACAGAAAAGCGTATACAGTTGATAGCCAAAATGATCTTCGTTTCCACAATACACAAAGCAGTGCCAAAAAAGGTTTGCAGCATTAGTTGAGAGTTATAACAAATGTATTGTACAAGTTAAAAAGCATAAATATGCTTTTTTTCTCTTTGAAAATAGACTCAAGGGATATAGAGGTTAAGCTATTACCCAGATTTGCTGATAAGAGGAGTGAAGTGATGACGTACTGTATGTGTGACCAGCCAAAAGCAGGATTTAAAAAGGCAGGACAAGATTCAGAAATTATTTCAGATAAAAAAGATTCATAATGTGATGTAATGATGTTTAAATACAAGGTCCTTTGACAGCAATCTTTTCAGCACATACATATAGATGAGAAAGAACGATAGAATTAACACATTAATTTTTCTTTCAAAACTGTTGAAATATAGTGTAAAACAAAACAGATTATTATATTCAGCTGTCATGTAGGACCTGTGGTAAGACTGTCATATGCCATTTTGAAGTGGCATATGCTGCTTTTCAACTGGCTTATCCTTGTTTAAAGATTTTAAAATTGGAAGAGTCCTAAATCATGGAGCCCTGACACAATAATAATAATGATAATTAAGGTTTTTGCTGCCTTCTCAGAGCACAAGCGCATTGCTCTAACCACTGGGCCAGCATTCCCAAAGATGCAGCCTCAGCAAACTTTATACTACAACATAAAATTTGATGCCTAATTTTATATGTTAAGATCTTTTCTTTCCTTAGTAGACATTCCAAGGCATATAAACATAGAAGTGTCTGTGTGAGTGTCTGTGTTTATATGGATGGATGGGTAGTCCTCACCCTAACTTTAAGAACCACTGCTATTCATAATTGGGAATCCCTAAAGGGTTTATTTTTATGGAAATGTCTGCAGCCTGCTTAAAAACAAAGCAGCCAATGCACAAGATGGGGGAGGGAGTCTGTGGTGGAGTCTGGACCAAAACATTTTTATTTTCAGCGCATTTAGGCTTTTTACTTATGTTTACCTTTGAATAAAACCCCATTGGCAATGCTTTGGAGAGAGCCAAGCTCATGCATGCCCACCCTTGTTCGCACTGTCTCCTTCTCCGTCAGCTGTTCTGTCCTCTGACGCTGCCTGCTTTCGCTTCTTGCAGCCTGTCACCACCTAGTAAAAGAGATCTTTATCATTCCAGAGAGGCTTGCGGTCCACCACCACCGACTCTCAGGTATACTTTACCCCCATTGGGTTTAAGTCACCTGAGGCAAATATACAAAGAGCAGCTCAAGGTTGCACTAATACCTTTTATGCTTTCTTATTCCCCCATCTACAGATGATGGTGCCGAGGGCAAGAGGGAGACCGGTGGTCAGGACTCCAAAGAATACTGTGCCTCAGATAAGGACATTGTGGAGGTGGTGAGGACAGAGTACGTGTACACGCGGCCTCCACCTTGGTCAGATGTGTTGCCCACAATTCACATCATCACTCCCACATACAGCCGACCAGTACAGAAAGCAGAGCTGATCCGGATCGCAAACACTTTTCTCCATGTCCCAAACTTGCACTGGATTGTGATAGAAGACTCACAGAGGAGAACACCTCTAGTTACAAGTCTCCTCCGAGAAACAGGGTTAAACTACACGCACCTCAATGTGGAGACGCCTAAGAACTTTAAGATGCGAGGTGACACTCGTGATCCCAGGATTCCCAGAGGGACCATGCAGCGGAACCTGGCCCTGCGTTGGCTTAGGGAGACCTTCAAAAACAACAACAGCCAGCCGGGCATCGTCTACTTTGCAGATGATGACAACTCATACAGCCTGGAGTTGTTTGAGGAGGTTAGTGCCAACATTAGCAAGAATCTTGAAATAATTTTAACTCATCCCTGCAGCTTTTCAGCAAATGAGAGCAACTGATCCTAAATTCAGAAAAAAATAAAATTAGAATACAAGGGAAAACTGATCAGGTTTCAAGATTTTTCATTAACATAAAGCAGAAAATATAAAAACATGATCTTTTCAAATCTGCCATGTTCAGACTATAAGTGTGGGGAAGCCTCTACACACTGTGTGCTCTGCTGCAGATATTTGGCTTAAAGTCAGGAAATGCAATTACTGAGAACATTGCTGGTCAATGAATTTTTATTTCATCAATTTGGTGTGTGGATAATTAAAACCAGTTTGCTGAATTAGCTCTCAGACTTGAGTTATGCTCTCACAGTTTACAAGACTGAAAATTTGCAAAAGTATATATTGTATTTGCATAAATTATAGCTGATGTAGCTTTGCTTTTGTGGCCATGTCAGTTTATGTGATTGTGTTTTGGCAGGATTATGAAATTACAATTTTTTGATTTATTGTCTGATTCATTCAATAATCAAATTCATTAAGTCTGATTTGCAAAAGTTAACTCAAGTAACCAGTACCGTCAATAAAAGTTTTTCTTTCATAATCCATTTAGAAAAAAAATGTGCTTAGTTTTTAGATTAAAATGTTGAAGAAAAAATCTATTGCCTTGCTATGCAGTACATTGGTTTTTGTGATGTCCAAATCATGCTGCTAAACTACCCATTCTCCTTTTTGATGGACAATTCATTAGCTCACAACAAGCCCAGTCAGGGGTTTGAAGCTGGGTGACTAATGTCAACACACGTAAACAGAACTTCTCAGGCCATCCATTTCGAGATCAGTCGAATTACCAGAGCGTACACATTGCAGGTCCTGTGTGTATTGGCCTCAAGTCTTGTTAGTAGTGCAGACAGTGTATGTGGCAAATGGTGGGTCCGGCATTGACGGGGACTGTCATTACCTTTCTCTGGAAAGCAGCCAAAGTACTCAACCTTCCTCTGAGATCCTCTGTCACCTCCAACATGCCTATTTATTGGGAAATAACAACACTGGGGGGCAAGGACAGAGCAATGGGAGTCTAGACACAGGAAAAGAGAAAAATAAAAGTGGACAGCCTAACAAACAGCGCTGTAAATGCAGCTGTAATGCATTAAAACTATTATATAGCTACAACTATAGCTTTAGCAAAATTGTATATATATATAATACATAATAGAGAATAGTTCTTTTTATAATTAAATACTACTGAAACAAATTGTTTTAAATTCACAAACAGCAGAGAAATTTGCATTGTTAAGGTCGGGTGAAAATAAATCTGCTAATTAAGACATGAACCAAATTAGGTCTTTGAATAACTTGCATGCTCATTGTGAGATCTATGAGGGTGACAATAGAGCCAACAATATCAGTAGGTAGGAAGCAAAGTTGCCACCCTTTTATTTATTTATTTTTATATTTAAGTGTATAAGAATTAAATGCATTCACATAAAAATTTAAGCACAGCTGTCTTATTTTTTTCCTTAAAACAATTGCGGATTTGAAATGTAAATTCAACACTGTCAATGTATTTTACCTTAAAGCCGGCTGTGTTTGGGCTGTAATTTTCAGCTTGAAAACTAACAAAAGTAGGAAGACAATTAGAAGAATTTTACTGAAACAATAATTTAAGACTTTGGCGCTCAGGCCTCGGCAGGGTGCTTTAACCATGAATTTTACTGTGTTTACATGCATGAGCCGCTAAATGAGAACAGGGATGAAGCCCCATGGGCCTGAAACTGGTGGTGGAATGGAGATGGTATGAAGAAAGATGCCAGCTGGGGCAAGGCGTGGCTTCATATGACCCTCCATGATGAGTAAGCATAAGGCGACAGTGGAGAGGGAAGAAAAGTGCCGAACCGGCTGGGGAAGCCTTGTGAAAGCTCTATGAGTCCAGGGAATTACTTTTATAGAGTGAAGCAGTGACATTGGGAAGAAGCTAGATGAGCTTGTGAGGATGGTGGAGAAGAAGATGGAGGAGGGTTGAACCGTGGTCATCAGAATCAAAGTCTGACATGTGATCCAACCCATATAATTTCTTGGTGGCAGGCTGAGCAGTGATTGTAGTCTTCTAAGCAGGACTCTGATGCTGATTGGATTATAAGCAGATGTGGCTGAATGTTAAAAAGCTGCTTTATAGACAATGAGCCTCTGATTGCATGAGGGTAAGCGATCCAGTTTATTCAATTTACTTCTGCCTATGCTGCATTATACAAAATGCATCTCTGTCTTTGTATTCTAGAGAATGTAGATCCATACCCTAACGTCTACATTTCCGAGATTGTTGCTTTAAATGCATTTTTATGCACCACTTCTGGCATGATTGTTTAACTTACAAAGTTTGTTCTGAGTCCCAAATATTTTATATTTTAGAAACAAAAGGAAAATCTGAACAGTTTTTGTGCAAATTATTGTTCAGACAATAGTCTCCTTAAATTACAGAAGAAGTGTATAGGGCAGATTCCGTTGTCCCTTGAACATCCTTAAGGGTTGAGTAATCTATTGTAATAATTGTTTTTTATGTGTCTTTTCAACCAAAGGATTTTTTTTTCTCTCTTCACTCTAAAATCTCCAACACAGAATCCTCCCTGCAGACCGCACTCAAACTGGAACAGGAAACTGAGTCTAAATCCCGAGGCTGGCAAGCATTTGCAAAAGTGGAGCAACACCACACTGGAAACTGTGTACAAACCCATCATATTCGCCTGACTGAGACTGGGAAAACGTGGTTGCATTTTCATTTGCTTGGCTGCCAGCAGAAGAGGGGATTTGTGTCGTTTCACTCCGACTGATATTCCCTCCAGAAGAAGCAGGCGGAACGCTCATTTTCACATTTCCAGTATGGATGCAAGAGTGACAAACCTCTTGACACCGCCTGCGAGGGCTCTGATTTGTTGTTTCCTCTTGTTAGAAGCTGTACATATATCCTCATGGATAAGCTGGCAGGTGATGGCGAGGCCAGCATTTACTCGCTGCCAAAAAACATTAATCCTGAAAACTGTTCGATCTATGCTGTGTAGCTACCAAAATTCACTGGAGACCAAAAAGACAGAATAAGAGCGTGATGAAAGAATATGTTGGTTAGACAATGCGACCAACGGTATATGATATTTTTAGCCCCACCGTGCACATAGACTGGAACCCAGTATCTCTTGAGTTTTTGCATTATCACCCAGAGCTCATTAGGCCTGAAACAGCACCTCTGTTTTCGCTAGGAGCTAACATCCACGAATCTCTGAAAGCCTGCAGCCTGCAGTGTTTCAACTTCTCTCTTAAATCATCTGATCCAAACTCTTAGCAGAAAATTGGAAAGAATGAAAATATCCAATGTGCCTGCTCTTCACTTGACCCAGGCAGGCTGTGCATCTTACTTGTTTCTGCAGAGGTACTTGTGAGGCATCATTATTTCTGCTGCGTTGGGTTTAACTAAATGCCTGTGCAATTTCTAAATCCAATTTGTCCCTTATTTTCAAAATGCACCTTTAAATACACCCACAGCACTTTTTTTTTGTTGATGCGGCAACAGACAAAGTAGAGAGCGGCAAAACTGATTGATAGTAGAAGATTAAAGGAGAGAAAAAGGAGGATGGTGCTGATCCACCTTAAGGAGTCTTTACAGCCAACCAGGAGGCAGGGTCATTTTCTTTAATAGCTCTTTTCCTTTAAAGCCTCCTAGCTCTTCCCGTGTTTACTCCCTTTAAAGATGGCTGCGCCTCATTACTTTATTGTAGGGCAGCACTTGAAAAGTGTGTGTCAGCTGCACTGGTACAGCAGCACGGTCAATATTCAGCATCCTGAATGAATCATCTCCATCCATGCTCTGCTGCAGTGCTGCTGGCTGAGGCTAAACTACTGCCATGCTGTCATGTGTGCTCCTTCAGATCACTAATTTGTTCTCTCCTTCTCCCTTCCTCTTCTAATTTCCACTCTCCTCCGGCTAGATGAGATCGACTCGGAAAGTTTCAGTCTGGCCTGTGGCCTTTGTGGGCGGCCTGCGCTACGAGTCCCCGAAGGTAAATGCAGCCGGAAAGGTCTATGGTTGGAAGGCGGTGTTCGACCCCCACCGGCCCTTTGCCATCGACATGGCCGGCTTCGCCATCAACCTGAAACTCATCCTCTCCAAGCCACAGGCGTACTTTAAGCTCCGTGGGGTGAAGGGAGGCTACCAGGAGAGCAGTTTGCTCCGAGAGCTTGTAACACTCAATGACCTGGAGCCAAAAGCTGCCAACTGCACCAAGGTAACCTCTTTTTTTTCCTTTGATCCCAAAAGTTCAGCAGTTTGGTTAAAGCTGTTTAACTGCATGTGAGAATGTCTCAAATCTGCTCACCAAATCAAAGTGTGTAAACTGTTTCAAATTTTTGATCCCCTTTTATTTTTGTTTTATTTTATCTCTAGCATTTACTACTCTAATTAACAAAAAAACTTTAACCTAAATACCAAAACAATTTCATTTTAAAAGGGTATAGATTCAGTTCAGATAAGCAGAAAATACAAATATAAAAGCCAGTACTACCAGATTTTACTTATACTAGTCATCTAAGAATAAATAAGCAAGTATTTAAGCAAAATTGTCATAACAATTTCAATTTCATAAAGATGTCAACATCGACAGATATTATCATAACAAGTACAGGATTCTTCTATAAATAACTGTCAGAAGTCTGCTGCACAACTTTTAAAGTTTTGTGTGAGTCTTTTTTCCCAATACAACACAGTCCAACAGTTATTGCTGCACCTTGACGTTGTTAGTAGTACTGCTGTCGTGCAGTAAGAGGGTCCTGGCTTCGGTCTTTCTGCAGAGAGTTTGCATGTTCTCTATGTGCATGCATGGGTTCTCTCCAGGTACTATGACTTTCTCTTTCAGTCCAAAGACTTAACTGTTAGGGTGATTGGTGTGTCTAAAATGCCCTTATGTGTAAGTGGTTGTGCCCATGGTTATATTTCTCTGAATCATTCTGTGATGGACTGTAGACCTGTCCAGGCTGTACCCTGCAGGAGATATGCATCATGACCCCAACTATGTTTAAACATGGAATGATGATGAATGGAAAACAAGCAATTTTACCTGATTTTGTTGTTGTCAGTGTAGGCTATACTTTTAATGCATATAATATTAAAACCAAACTGATTCCCTTCCCTGGATGATATCCAGGAATAGAACAGGAGTTTTTCTTTGGATGCATGATTTCAAAACTCACTGAAGAAGGAACGGACACCTTTTATAAAGCCCTGAAATCAGCCAAGGCAGTCATCTAAGAAAGGGATCAGCAGTACACCTCCACCAATACGGATAGTTTTAGATCAGGTTTAAATCAATGGATGGAAAAACTACAAGCATTATTTTTCTTGGCCAGTTGTCTTCAGTGTGAATTGTTTATTAGAAAATAATGGTAGAGTTTTTTTTAGGGGATTCAGCAATGTACATTTCCCTAATTGGCTCTGCTGCACAAGAGGAGATCACTGTAATTGATGCCGAAGGTTCTTTGCATGAAAGAAATGAGACTCATTCCTATTATTAACACGGCAGGTGGAAACAAACTTGATTTTACTTTAGAAAATCTGTTTTTCAAAAGAAAGATTCTGGGAAAGAAATATTTTTTCACATGTTCTCTCTTACTGTTCACATTCCAGGTTACAGAGACTTTTTCTAGGTTAAAGGAGGAAGCACAAGTATAACTCACACATAAAGATAATGACATGATGCTCAGTGGGGCTAGAAGTAGAGCTACAGTAAGAATTTAACCTACTACAGCCTCATTTAACAGCTTTAAATGAACTTAAATTAATTGTATAGGAAATAAATGATAAATATTCCATAATATTTATCATTTAGCACAAACTTTGCTTCCTCTAGAAATCCTCTTTTTTAATTAGTACCAATCAAGCAAAAATCAAACCTTGTTCTTGAATGAGAATCTCAATAATCCAGTGACAGATTGTTATTTCCATAGAAAAATTATGTGAAATCATGTTTTAATGAGATCAAACTGTTTTAAAAAGTATTTTTTGTGAATATATATTTCAAATACAGTCAAGATGCATTTGATTCTCAGCTTATAATCTCTGGGCACATATGCCCTGTTTTATCACCCAGTTTACTGCTTTTTTTTTTGCTTGTTGGTTTGGGTCAACTCGCTGAGCTCCTCCCTGGGTAAAGAGGAGTCAGCCAGAGGCCTATCCTCATCACAAGCACCTGTATACGCACAAAGATGGAGAGAAGAAGAAAGGAGGGGAAGGAAAAGGACGTACTCTCAGCCAGGTTTTCATCCCACTCCCCTCCTGCCATTCACAGGCCTAAATGAAAAGAGGGGATTCAGAGAACTGCTCAACTCAATGGGACTCGGTGAAGGAGGCAGAGACGTCACACTGATTACAGATGAGTGTTGGAGATGGACAAAACAGGGCAGTTAGATATGGGGGGGGGGTGGGGGTTAAGTCGTGTATGTGCATCTCCTTTTCTTATAATCTTCCACTTCAGATGCGAGCATCACTGTTACCCCCCTCCCCCCTTCACCTGAGCAGAGTGGGAGTGGGCTCCTGGCACAGCTCATGCATATTTCATGGATGCTGCCAAGGCGAGATGAAAGGAGGAAGGGTACCAACACAATGGCGAGAAGAGGGAAATGAGCTTGACACTTCTGAGTTTGTTCTCCCCATCCTGCATGTTTGTTCTGTCTCTGGGGCAAAAGCGCACCAGCATGGAGGCTTTGGGTGATGTGATGGGACAAAAAAAGGAACCAGAAAAACTGTAGTACTGCCACAAAGGGAAAACTTTATACACCAAATAATTTAAAGCTGTCAATCACTCGAAGAAAGCAATTATTCAGTGGTCAGAAGAAAACAAAAGGGAAAAAAAGGAAACCCTGTTCAGCACTGCCCTTTTTTCCCTCTGCTTTAATGCAGGGTTCATGCTCAAGTAGCTCTATACACATAGATAGGCCCTGCGGTGCTGAGCTGAGTCCAGAATCGTCTGTATTTGAAGAACATTAGGATGAATGAGTGCATTAAGGGAACAGCACGTTACTAATGTGTCTGCTGTTTGTGTTTCTGTGCTGCTTTCTGTTCAGATACTTGTTTGGCACACGAGGACAGAGAAACCCATCCTTGTAAACGAGGGGAAGAAAGGATTCACCGATCCAAATATCGAGGTTTGATTGTACTTTCCTCAAAACCCTGGTAAATATTAACCCAATGCAATGAATACAGAAGGGGGGTTATTTTTACTTTGTCTCACCAGTGTCATCAAGACAAACATTTCCTCTCTTATAGATTTCATCTGTTTAGATCTATACTATCATTAAATACATTTTAATCTCAGACACAGATAACTTGGGTAAATACAGCACCCCAAAGTCCAGACTTTGACTAGGCCTTTTCAAACCCATAATACTGTATGTTTTCTTTTACATAGCTTTGTTTGAGCATTAGGTCAGGTGAACACGTTGCTCGAACATCTACTGTATCCATTCTGCCAAATAATTCAGGTCTTTAAGCAGCAAAGCAGCCCCAAGCTGTCACACAATATTATTTTATTGTAAACATAACCCAATGCATCTGGGTACACACCTTCCAAAAGTTGTAGTCCATTAAAAATACTTCCAATAGCCATGAGGATAATCAATATGTTTTGAAGAAGATATAAGACAGACATTTATTTCCTTGATCAAAAGCTTAACTTGGAACCATTTATAGGCTGTTAAATGTCACTTCCTTCAATTAGCCTGTGTACAATAATATTTTTTTTTTATTGGGAGTAGGATGTGTACCTTTTAGAAAATTTGAAGCCTTCCTTATGTTATGTTATGTTATTGCAGCAGTTAGTTAGCATTATTCAGGATTTTCTTAGGGGAGAATTTTTGTACCAAACCAAGTGGATTTTGTTATTTTAGACATCATAAAAAACAATATTTTAAAACAGCATGTATAATTTATTTAGATTATCTTGAGCTAATGATAAAACTAGTTGGAAAATCTGATACATATAAAACTGACATGAAAATAAGCTTTTTGATTATCTGTTTTTTTATGCTTTTTTGGTGTTTTTTTTTTTTTGCAGCAGTTAATATTGCATTCTGTGTTATAGGTTAGGGGACTGCACAGATGGAGTCAGGCAATAGTTAGTGTTAAAATTATCTCCAGCTTCTACAGCGGGTCAGCGTTAGATAAGGAGCCCCACTGGGGATCGCAGATGGATGGATCTTTCAAGCAGAGGAGAGACTCCATTATGCTATGAGGTGTGGATTAACTTTTTAAAAATGATCAGCTGTACTGCATGATTACTGCTGCCGTCTATCGTAAGTGCTGCAGATATCTTCCTGGGTGGTCCAGTTAATGTTGGACACGAAGCTACAGGGTAATGCATCAGATAAAACCAGCCGCCTCCATATTTCAACCAGACCAAAGAGAACATTTATTTTTATTGTGCTTTTCATTTGCCTACAGTGACTTCGGAGCTTAATGTACACAAAAAAAGAATGTACATATATCACATTTCCAGGGCCATGCATTAATGCTTCAAAAAAACAAAAAGAAAAAAAAAAGATGCTTAGGAATCAATACCTGATGCTGCTATATATATATATTTTTCTTTTTTCTTACATGTAAAATTAAATATAACCAATATCTGATGCAGACTTTTTCTGTTCACACCATTCAACTTAGTGAAACATAACAGATGAAGAACAGAGGACCAAAACTGTCATCAAATTAATATACATAATTTTTTTTTTATATTTTTAGCCGAACGGGACATTGTTTTTTTAAATACAAGAAATTTAAAAATTTTGGTAATGTGTTACCAAAAAATAAATAAAAGTAGCATAAACAAGTTTGACATTTACTAATTTTTTACAATTCATGTGCGCTAGTGTGTTGTAATTGGATTTTAATTGTCACCATGGTTACCAATCAGAAATTAGTGGATGGATTTTAATTTAGCATAAGACCATCCTTGATGAGTAGCTAATTATGTTTTTTTTTAATGTTTATTTTGTCTTCTGTCCACAGATCCATTAGATAATGAGGGACATCTGTTTTTTATTGATGG